TGCAGGCTTATTGTCCTGTTGATATAAAAATAAAGGAAAGCAATGCATTAACAGAGGGATAGAATCAAGATCACGTGAAGTATTAATACCATTTTACAATGCCTTGGTAAGGCCACACTTGGAATACTGCATCCAGTTTTGGTCACCACGATGTAAAAAAGATGCTGAGACACTAGAAAGAGTACAGAGAAGAGCAACAAAGATGATTAGGGGACTGGAGGCTAAAACATATAAGGAACAGTTGCTGGAATTGGGTATGTCTAGTTTAATGAAGAGAAGGACGAGGGGGGACATGATAGCAGTGTTCCAGTATCTCAGGGGCTGCCACAAAGAAGAGGGAGTCAAGCTATTCCCCAAAGCCCCTGAAGGCAGGACAAGAAGCAACGGATGGAAACTAATCAAGGAGAGAAGCAACCTAGAACTAAGGAGAAACTTCCTGACAGTTAGAACAATTAACCAGTGGAACAACCTGCCTCCAGAAGCGGTGCATGCTCCAACACTGGAAGTTTTTAAGAAGAGACTGGATGGCCATTTGTCTGAAATGGTGTAAGGTTTTCTGCCTGAGCAGGGGGTTGGACTCGATGACCTCCAAGGTCCCTTCCAACTTTATTACTATTATTATTATTATTATTATTATTATTATTATTGTTGTTGTTGTTGTTGTTGTTGTTGTTGTTGTTGTTGTTGTTGTTTTGTTGTTGTTTTGTTGTTGTTGTTGTTGTTATTATTATTATTATTATTATTATTATTATTATTATTATATAACTACATACATACAGGTAGTCCTCGACTTACAACCACTTGTTTAGTGGTTGCTCAAAGTTACAATGGCATTGAAAAAAAATGACATGATTGTTTTTCACACTTATGACCGTCACAGCATCCCCATGGTCATGTGATCAAAATTTGAACACTTGGCAACTGCTTCATATTTATGATGGGTGCGGCGTCCTCGGGTTATATGATCACTTTATGTTTCTTTCTGAACTTAGCAACAGCAATTTTGTGCTCAGTTGTGGTCATAAGTCAAGAATTACTTGTACATTTAAAATTACCGAGGCCTTGGCAAACTCCCAGCTGCATGAATGTGGTGCATGGTCCATGAGATTTATCTTTGTGGATTATTTGGACATTCCTGTTTATTTAAAACAAAGCTGCACGGTTAATCATTGAGACTCAGCAAACACCAGCAAGTTGCTATGAAACGGCTGAATTAGCTAGTTGGGAATCACCTTCTCTTCATAGCTTAATCTTAAATTCTGCTTTGGAGCCTTAAAATCTTTCTCAGCTTGCTGTCCAATGGCTCTAAATCAGAGTTTTCCAACCTTGGCAACTTTAAGACACGTGGACTTCAACTCCCAGAATTCCTCAGCCAACACATTTTGCCACAGTTGGGAAATTCCGTTCTAAATCATTTGGTCGAGATTTAAAGATTTTCTTTTCCTGGTTCTTCTATTGGGGGGGAAAAAAAATCTGTGAGCCCAAATAGCGGTTTTAGCCGATGCTTCCAGCTAAAAACTACCCTCCCTGAGAACTATGTATTTTCGTGCCGTTTTGCAACGAGGCAGAAATCAGTTTGTTTTAATTTGGCCTTAATTCGCTTTATCCAGCCTTTTGTTAATGCTGTTTTTGCCATTTTGTTTTAATTCTGGTTGGCATTTATTGTTGCTGTCAGTTGCCCTGAGGGGAAAAAAGTTTTAGATAAATAAACAGTTGAATAACATTTGAGTATCCATCAGTGCTAAGACAAGGTAACTATAAGCTTCAGGGTAAACTACAGAGCACATAATGATCTGTTTCTCTTCCCTCTCCCTCCCCTTCCCAGTTAGTGTACCTGAGTTTTGCCAACCTGTTTGGGCACCTAACTGCAAGTCCCTCCTTCTGGGCACTCATAATGAAGGCATTGTTGTTGTTAGTTGCGAAGTCGTGTCCGACCCATCGCGACCCCATGGACAACGTTCCTCCAGGCCTTCCTGTCCTCTACCATCTTCTGGAGTCCATTTAAGCTCACGCCTCCTGCTTCAGTGACTCCATCCAGCCACCTCATTCTCTGTCGTCCCCTTCTTCTATTGCCCTCAATCTTTCCCAGCATTAGGCCCTTCTCCAGTGAGTCCTCCCTTCTCATTAGGTGGCATTCAAAGTACTTGAGCTTCAACTTCAGGATCTGGCCTTCTAAAGAGCAGTCAGGGGTTGATCTCTTCTAGGACTGACCGGTTTGATCGCCTTGCAGTCCAGGGGACTGGCAGGAGTCTTCTCCAGCACCGTAGTTCAAAGGCCTCAATCCTTTTGCGCTCAGCCTTTCTTATGGTCCAACTTTCACAGCCATACATTACAACTGGGAAAACCGTGGCCTTGACTATACGTACTTTTGTTGGCAGGGTGATGTCTCCGACGTATTCTCAGCATCACCTGGCATGACAAAGTCCCAAATAGCGCAATCCTGGAATGTGCTGGAATCTCTAGCATGTATACACTATTGAAACAGTGATGTCTACACTGGCTTGGGCATGTTGTGAGAATGGCTGATGGTCGGATCCCAAAAGATCTCCTGTATGGAGAACTAGTGCAGGGAAAGCGCTTTAGAGGGAGACCTGAGCGGCAATATAAGGATATCTGCAAGAGGGACCTAAAGGCCTTGGGAATGGACATTAACAGCTGGGAATCCTTGACCTCTGATCATTCAGCCTGGAGGCTAAAGATGCAGCATGGTTGGAAATACGAAGAGACACTTGTGCGGCAGGCTGAGGCAAAGAGGCAGTTTTCAAAGAACTTCCATGCATTGATTTTCCTAAAAGTAATTTATTGTTACAAAATGTCGGCACAGGCACAACGAAGTTGATGCTAAGGTCTGTAATTCATTTCCTCTGAGCAGTTAAATTAGCCGGAACCATAACAACCTCCCCCACACGAACCCGAGCAGCAACCAGAGCTACCCGGACAGCAATCACCCCCACGAAAACCTTCAACTACTGCAATGGCTGAGAGACCCAGGCCACCTACACGCCCTTCCTTTAAGTGTTTCCGGTGTGGACAAGAAGGACATCGAGCGGCCACCTGTCCAGTCCCCTATCCCCCTGGCTGCAGAGCAGATCAGAACCAGCAATGAGAAAGAAACCTGCTCAGCGGCTAACAAGAGAAAAATCCAATTGGCTCACGCAGGAACCTGTTGCCCAGATTATACCCCCCACACAGGAGAACGCCGAGACTCCAGGTGGACCCGCCTCTGCTCTACCCTTCTTTGACAGTGATGATGAAGGAGAGAACGACCCAATGGTGAGTCGACAAATCCCGCCTTTTTCACTGGCTGCCAAACTTATAATCCCTAAGTCTGGGGCACAAATAGACTTAAACGTGATGATTGATTCTGGATGCACCCGTTGCATTATTAGTCTGCCGTTTGCCACGAAGATGGGCATACGGGCAAAACAGCTTTTCAAACCTGTGAGGTTTGACCAAGCTGATGGCTCCCTGATGGGAGGGACTCATGTCACACAAGTAACTGAGGCCTTACGCCTAGAAATAGGTGCACACTGGGAGTTTATTCGCTTCCTAGTGGCTCCAAAAATGACTGAGACTGTGATCCTAGGGCTAGCCTGGTTGGACACATGGTCGGACAGGGGGGTGCAGTTCACAGCGAAGCGGAATCTGGGGGCTGGACAGGGGACAGATTGTATCTGCCCTCAGTGTGGAAGGGAGTGCCCTTCTCGAATTGGCCTTTTCAGCCACACCAGATGCTGTTTTAGGACCTCTTTCCAGAGCACAATACCATAGTCTCCCGAGACTGAAAGATGCCAATGATGATGTCTCTGCTTTTTAGTATGCTGTCTAGATTTGCCATAGCTTTCCTCCCCAAATGAAGGCATATTCACACCAAATTAAATAAATAATAGCCAGTAATTGTATTCTTTCTAGCCACACAGCTCCACAGCCCAAGGGCAGCCCCAGTCAGAATTAAAGTCCCCTGATCTGGGCCACAAAGAATCTGGATGACTACCGGCCAGAAGCAGAGACCGAGAAACTCTTAGCATTTTTGCCTCCTTCTACAAAATTGTGGGAAGAGTTACCAATGCCCCACTACCCCAATCCTCTTAGAAATGCTAAACAAGGTTGCATCTGGTGAATACAGCGGCAATTGGGTGGCACTGTAGTCTAATGTGGGAAAAACATCCCTGAAGGGCAATTTCCAACCATTTCTGTATTGTTGCTCTAATTCAGGGTTAGGCAACCTCGGCTCTTTTATGACTCATGGACTTCAACTCCCAGCATAGCTGACTCAGGAATCCTGGGAGTTAAAGTCCATGAGTCATAAAAGAGCCGAGGTTGCCTACCCTTGCTCTAATTCAGTGTTTCTCAACCTTGACAATTTTAAGGCTTGTGGACTTCAACTCCCAGAATTCCACAGCCAGCATGGGAGTTGAAGTCCACATGCCTTAAAATTGTCAAGGTTGAGAAACACTGCTCTAATTCAAGGCATGTCCATGGGATTACCGGATTTCCACCGGACTCGAGGGAGCCCTTGCCTTTTAAGAACCCAGGTGGAACATCTTCCTAGTCCTGGGGTAGGCAACCTTGGCTCTTTTATTGACTCGTGCACTTCAACTCCCAGAATTCCTGAGCCAGCCATGCTGAGGGGAAAGGGAGAGGTTTCCAAGCTGAGCCATGCTGGCTCAGGAATTCTGGGAGTTGAAGTCCACGAGTCATAAAAGAGCCAAGGTTGCCTCCCCCTGGCCTAGTCTATACCCTCCTTTTATCCCCAGCCAATCTGAGACGCGCAGAAGGAAGATTCCCCCCGCCTCCCATTTAGGGAACGCTAGACTGCAATCCCCAGCATGCCTTGCTCCTTTCCCTCCTTCGCTCTCTGATTGGCTGGGATGCCTGTTCGAACGCAGGCAGGCCGGCCGGCCGGCCAATGGGAAGCGGCCTAGTGTCCCAGGGCCAGGCTGGAACAAAGCGGTATTGGCTCCAGCGGTCAGTCTCCTCTCCTGGCGGCCGACGGCAGGATGACGGTGCCCAGGTGGGAGCGCGCAGCCCGGCTGCTGCTCTGCGCGGCGGGGCTGGCGCTCTCTATTTACGCCTTGCACGTGGAGACTTCCAAGGAGCGCGACGCCGCCTACCGGGCTATGTGCGACATCAACCCCGACATCAGCTGCTCCCGCGTCTTCACCTCCAGGTCGGTGGTGCCCCCAACTCCGATCCAGCGGATCCTGAGCGTCTCCGCCCTCCTAAGCTTGCACCCACTTCCATTAAGTGGAAGGGATGGAGTTGGGCTCCGGGGAGGTGTTGCATTGAGGAAGCGCGGAGAATACCCGAGCGACTTCTCCATTTTCCAGGTTTAGACGTTCATTCCGGACGGGAGACCACCAGGAAATCCAGGGCTGCAGGAATTCAGAGTCGGAAGGTTGCACTATTTCTTGGCTCTATCTTCCGCGCCTGGGCGGAGGTTTAGGGCAGGGGTAGGCAACCTTGGCTCTTTTATGACTCGTGGACTTCAACTCCCAGAATTCAACTCCCAGGAATTCTGGGAGTTGAAGTCCACGAGTCATAAAAGAGCCAAGGTTGCCTACCCCTGGTTTAGGGGCACAAGGACGCTTTTAGAGTCCAGCCTGGGTTTTGGGACATCCGGTAATTTTCCTAGCAAAAATCCGGAAGTGGCTGTTCTTTTGCCTCCTTTAAGGCGTTTTTTCTGCCCTCCCAATCGAACCTGCAGCCCTGGGGCCCTCTGGTGGTCTCCTGTCCATGTGCTGCATGAACCTGGCCAGATCTTAGCCCAGGAGAAGCCGATCAGGTCCTGCTATTGGGGAAACTGTGGCAGTGCTTCTTTTCTGCTAAGGCAGCTTCGTCAAACTACTTCTCTCCCTGCGTGTGGGGTGGCTGTGGCTGGCGGCAATCCTGTTGCAACTCTTCTTTTTTTTTTCAATTTTTTTATTAATTTTCAAATAAACAGACAAATTACAAATATGGTATACATTAATAAAAAAGCCCCATATTATATATCTATTCAGAGATGCTCAGCAGCCCCCCCACACCTGCGTCCACCCTCTCTTTCACCCTTCCTACCTACTTCCCTCCTCCTCTCTTCCTCCTACCTACACCTCTCTCCTCCTCCCTCCTCTCAACTACCCTACACATCCCACCTCCTTCTTTTCCTCATCCTTCGGACGCAGTTTGGGGGCACCAGCCGAGCATCTCATCTTCTTCAAATACATTATTTCACTATAACATTCTAATATACCAAAATTTAAATTTACATCTTTAATCCCCTCCTTCCCTCCCCCCCCCCGGACTTCCCAGAACCGAATACAGGGTTATGCACATGTCATCCCAAATCTAAATAAAAATACCCAAACATAATACAATCAGATATTAACATACTTTAACTCTAATAAAAAAAATTATCAACTTAACATAAATATAAAATATATATAATATGATAAACAAATAAAAAACAATATAAAATCTAGTCAAAGGCTATATAATATTTGTTAACTTCGTACTTTCTCTGAATATACTCTATCCATCTTCTCCAGACCAAAATAATTTTTTCTTGAGATTGATCTTTCAAATATGCAGAAATCTTAGCCATTTCTGCAAAATACGACACCTTCGTTCTCCAATCATCCATAGTGGGTAATACATTCTTCTTCCAGTTTTGAGCAACCAATAACCTTGCTGTCGTTATACAATACAACATCAAAATCATTTCTTTAGAATTTAAATCTTCCACAATACCCAAAAGAAATAATTGCGGTGTAAAATCCTGTTGCAACTCTTGTTGGATGTGTGTGCAACCCCATGGTGCGTGTACAAAAGGGGGTAAAGCTGGCATCCCCTAAGAGCAGTGCTGTTTCTGTCATTTCTTACTCCTCCTTGCTATGGCTTCTTCTGGCAAAGGCTTTATTTTAGCATGTCATATCATAACTTTTATTTTAAAGATTTATATTTAGGGGAATAAGCCTCCCAGTGCATCAGGAAGATGGCAGGGGAATTCTGGGAGTTGAAGTCCAAGCATCTTCAAACTGCCACAGTTGAAACACCCTGACCTACAGCTTTTTGCTTAGGAAGCTGAATTTTAAGTTGCAGGAGACTGAAGGATGAGAAAAGCTTGGGGGGGGTGGTTTGCTGTTAACTGTGAGAATTGAAGGGGACCATCTTTTGGAAAAGCCATGGCTGGAGAAGGGAGATGAAATTCTGCCTTAGCTTCAAGCACCCAGAAACTCTCTGTGCATATACAGAATGCATTTCAACTCACTCTTCCATGACCAAACTGCCACCCCAGCACAGTGGATATTATAGAGCTGACTAATGTCTCTTGTGATCTGAGCTTTCAGTCTTCTGGATATGTTCTCTCATGATAGGTAGTCCTTGACTTATAATCATTCATTTAGTGACCCTTCCAAGTTACAACAGCACTGAAAAAGGAAGTTATGACAGGTTTTCCCACTTAACGACCATTGCAGCACCCCCATGGTCGTGTGATCAAAATTTGGGTGCATAAATGTAAGCCAGATTTGTTTAATGGCTACATGATTCACTTAAGAACCACTATGATTTGCTTAACAACTGTGGCAAAAAGAGATGTAAAATGGCGCAAAACTCACTTAACAACTGACTTGCTTAGCAATGGAAATTTTGAGCACAATTGTGGTCATAAATGAACCTTTACAAAAAAAAAAGGATCAGAATTACACAGAGTTTAGGCTCCATTCTCCCTGGGATAATGTTCTGTGCTGTATTTGGAAATGCCTCAGCTGGAGGAGAGGAGTTGTGTGCATTAATCATTTGTAAAAAATAAATAAATAGGTGAGATACAAATAAATAAAAATTCTCCATGCAAATGAGAAGGACGGTCCTTCCGTTCAGAGAAAGTTAATTATGGAGAAAGCTAGTTTTATCCCAGACTGGAATAGGATCAAACTCTTGAAGGGTTTGATACTGTGGTTCTCTTCTCCCCCGTTCTGTCTCTTCATCCACGTTGTGTTTACAAGTAAATATGTGGCTCCTGGCCCAGGACTCTCTACTCTACAATTTAGTTGAAGTGTCCTTCTCATTTTAGTCTCTGGTTAGGCTTGAACATAATTTCCAGGAAATTTGAGGAGTTGGGGAAAGACAGTCTTTCCCATCAGAACCAGCATTTGAGCTGTAATGTGAATTCTCTTTTCCAGCCCCACTGAAAAAGCCTTGATTGATTTTTGGATGCCTCTCAACCCCAATGACAGATGAGTGTCTTCTGGAGGCCAAGAGAGAAAAGAACTGAAAAGGATACAAAAGAATAGAGTAGAGTAGAGTAGAATAGAATAGAATAGAATAGAATATTGTCACTTTAAATGTACATTAATCAGCATACATTAAAATGAAAGCTTGTGGCATTCAGCTCTAAAAAAAAATACCGTTATGCATATACCCACACACACGCACACATATATGACACAGAGAAACATCACAGTCTAGTTCGAATGTATACATATACATGGCAGATTTTTTTTGTGTGTGTGAATTTACAAGACCGATGGCATAAGGAACAAAGCTGTTACAGAATCTAGTAGTTCTGTTATAAATACTTCAAAACCTCCTCCCAAAGGGGAGCAGCAGAAACAGACCGTGAAGTGGGTGTGTGGTGTCCCTAACAATGCGTCGAGCTCTAAGCACATAGTGCTTATAAGCAATATCCTGAATAATGGGAAGCGAGCTTCCTATATTCTTCTCAGCTGTCCTTACCACTCTCTGTATGGACCTTCTATCTGTGGCTCTGCTACCACCAAACCAAACAGTGATGCAGTTTGTTAAAACACTCTCAATCGTGCCTCTGTAAAAAGTGGTCAGGACAGGAGGAGAAAGATGTGCTCTCCTTATCTGACGCAGGAAATGCAAACGCTGGTTTGCTTGCTTCACTAAAGATAATGTAAAAGTTGGCACAGTTTCCCATCATTTGCAAATATTGCATGAGCTCCACTGATTGGCAGTTGACTTCTGGATGCAATTCATGATGCTGGTTTAAAGCCTTGCATAGCACAGGGCCTGATTACATAAGGGACTGCTTATCTTTAATTATCTCTGCCTGTCTGGATTGATTCAGCAGGGTGGGTCAGCTTTGGCAGTTCCTGCCCTCTGAACCAATTTCCCACCAGAGATTCATGGGGCTTCCAGCCTGAAGGCATTCTGGAAATTATAGAAGACTCCCAGGCTTTGGGGTCAGAGGGACCGTGAAGCTCCCTTTTTATTTTCACTGTGTTTTTGGTTTTGATACTTTGCTCTTCTGGTTCATTGTTTAATTTTCCATTTAATAAGTTGTTTTTTTTTGTTGTAAGATGTCCAGAAGCATGTGGGAGTTGGGGAGCCTGTAAAATAAAATAAAATATGAGGCAAGGGAGGGGCAGAGTGATGCCTTTGCCCCATTCAAGCCTTCACCAGATAACTACATCTTTCTATAATGTATCCAAAGTAGGCTAGTCATTTGTACCTTGAGTGAGTACGCCGGGGTAGTTTGTTCAGTGAGCCATTTGCTTCTTTTTCTTGCCAGCCCAGGGTATTTTCAGGAGTCTTCTCCAAGGACAAAGTCGAGAAGCATCAATACAGCTAGTTCTTGACTTACAACCATTTGTTTGGTGACTGTTTAATGTTACAGTGGACCTAGAAAAACTTACTGTGCATACTGTAGGAAAAGACAGCATCTGGGGGTGAAGTCAAGACGGGAATTAGCCTGGAGTTGATATGTTCCCACAAACAAGTCCAGCCTCCTTAAATTTTGTTAAGTCTTATCTAGCACGAGTTTAGTGCTGGCTATTAGTTGATTAGATTCTTGTGTATAGCAGTGTTCCAATATCTCAGGGGCTGCCACAAAGAAGAGGGAGTCAAGCTATTTTCCAAGGCGCCTGAAGGCAGGACGAGAAGCAACGGATGGAAACTGATCAAGGAGAGAAGCAACCTAGAACTAAGGAGAAACTTCCTGACAGTTAGAACAATTAACCAGTGTAACAACCTGCCTCCAGAAGCGGTGAATGCTCCAACACTGGAAGTTTTTAAGAAGAGACTGGACAGCCATTTGTCCGAAATGGTATAGGGTTCCTGCCTGAGCAGGGGGTTGGACTCGATGACCTCCAAGGTCCCTTCCAACTTTATTATTATTATTATTATTATTATTATTATTATTATTATTATTATTATTATTATTATTATTATTATTATTATTATTATTATTATATGCAATGTCGTCCTGACTCTTCATGCCTGACACACTTAAAATTGTCTGTACCATCTCCAAGCTCAAGTGAACAGAATTTGGGCATTTGGTAAGCAGCATGTATTTAGGATGGTTGCAGCGTCCCCGGGTCATGTGATCACCATTTGCAACATTCCTGCCCGACTTCCAGTAAAAAGTGACGTCAATGAGGGAAGCAGATTTGCTTAATGACTGCATGATACTGAACGACTGCAGTGGTTGGCTGAACACAGCCAGTCATAAAATCGGGCGTGAGGCACCAAATAACCACCTTGCCTAACAACCGAATTTCTGGTCCCAGTCACGATCGTAAATCGAGGACTACCTGTGTACTCTTTTTCTCCCGTTTCTTCTAAGTCCAATTTCCCTTCTGTGAAGTGTCACAGGAAAGACTATATCAGTGGTGGCGAACCTTTTAGAATACCCAAATCGCAACCCATAACCCATTTATTTATCGCCGGGTGGGCGTCGCTGACTGGGTGGGCGTGGCCGCAGTCGGTGTGGCCACCTCGATGATGCTCGTGGGGGAGGGACACCTGTGGGGGCCGGGCAGGATTGGGGGTGATCCAGGGGGTCTCTGGCGGGTGAGAGCTCCTTTCCGGCCGTCCCGGGGCCGTCTCTGCCCACGCCAATGGGGTTACACTGTGGAAGGGAGATGGCGGCTCTGATTCACCCCTGCCGGCCACCACCACCCCCCGCCCCGTGCTCCTTCTATGCAATCCTACGTGACCACAGTGTGGATGAGAGGCTCGGCCGGTGGGAGTGTGGCTTTCCTCCGCAGAGGCATCCCAGCCCTCCAGCCCCTCCCCTCGCCTTCCCCCAGCTGGGACCTGATGACCCCCACCCTCCTGCCCCCACCCCAGCTGACCCCCCCCGAGCAGCCCAGCCCAACCAAGACAGAGGGAAGGCAAGGCAGAGAACCAGTTGTTGAAATGATTTTAAACCCACCACTGGTCACTTCCAAAGGCCACTCACTCACTCTCCTGCCAAGACTGCTCTTTTTATAGGTTCCCTCACCCCGCCCAGCTCTCGCAGCTCTTCCCAGACTCCGCATACGTGGAGAGGGGGAGGGGAGGAGCCCAGCAATGGCGCGCGGGCCCACAGGGGCGGCTCTGCGTGCCGCCTGTGGCACGCGTGCCATAGGTTCGCCACCACTGGACTATATCCTGCATCTCTTCCAGGACTGTGTGTTGTTTTTCGATTTCTCCATCTAGCTTCAAGTCAAGATTCCCAGGAATTCCAAGTCCCAACCTCTGCTTATCGTCGCTGTAATCATTACCCAGCATTATATCTTCCAGGTGGGGTCGTGGCTTTGGCTTAGTGGCAGACCTCCTGGGACCTCACAGCCTCTTCAATCAGCCAAACAGCATTTTTGGGATTATTTTCTATATTCTGCAGATACTTCTGGGTGAGTATGAGGCAGAGGACGTGCAAGAGAAAGCACGATGAAGAGAGATGTCCATCCTTTTGAGATCCAGATTGCCTCACAATCCTGTTGCTCTTGGTTAAGGTGTATAGCTTGTCTTTTCTCTAAGCCAGACATGTCAAACACAAGGCCCGGGGGCTGGATGCGGCCCGCGAAGTGGTTTCATGCGGCCCGCGAAGCCATCCTGGAAACAGTGAGGGAACGGCCCCCGCTGCCTTGGCCCTGGCCCTGGCCCAGGCCGGCCAGGAGCCAATGTACAATTTTGTGGTGGCCATCTATGCTGAAACGCATTCAGTCTTGCTCCGAGAGCCACCACCACCCCGCATGGCCTGAGAGGAACAGTGAGGCTCCTCCAGTGGACCATGCCTTGGCACTTGCCCCGGTCCCACCCCCTTCTGCCAGAGACCCTCAGATCTGTTCCACTCCTGCCCAGGCCCCCACAGGCACCCTTGACGCGAACGATGTAGAACTGGCCACGGCCACCCAGTAGGCCACACCCACCCGGCCCCCTGAAGGCAACCGCAATGCTGATGCGGCCCTCAATGAAATTGAGTTTGACACCCCTGCTCTAAAAGGTTCGCCATCACTGAGCTAGGCTGTCTTCATAAATGCTCATCCAAGCAGGTTTAGCTAATGCAGTTTCTTCACGGGGCTCCCTAGCCAGCATTAATTCATTGTCTTCCTTGGCAGAAGAAACAGCGGGCTGCTTTATCTTCAGGCTTGCTCAAATATTCATAATACAGGTTGTCCTCAACTTATGACCATAATTGAGCTCAGAATTACAGTCGTAAGTCATGCTAGTCATTAAGTAGGTCACCATGTGACTGCACCCAATTTTACAAGCTTCTTTGTAGGGGTGGTTAAGGGAATCCATTTTAGCCAATAAGTGTGGGGTTGTTGTTTTTTTGCCAGAAACTGGAATTAATGCTAGTTTCTAGCAAAAACATCATGGATAATAAGTTAAGGACTACTTGTATTATTCTTGCTTGAATCATGAGCACCAACAGAAGAGGATTTGGAATAGGAGGGGTGGGAAGCAAATGGAAGATGATAAATGCTGGGTAAAATCCCAGGTCTGCAAAAATGCAAAAAAGAAAAATCTTCAAAAAAAATATTTTTTTTGCAGGACAGAACGTGCTTAGTAGCTAAGGAATGTGATACAGGAGTTGCACAAGAATTGAACTATGGGGACACCAAAGATAAAGAACAGGAAGTGATCTTCGGAGGGAGATTTTACAGGGATAGGTGGGGACTGGCACTCCGTAGTTAGCACAGGAAAGGACAAATGAGAAACAGAGGTAAGCTGGGCTGACATGTTATGATGAACCATGGCTTGCTTAACCATAGTTTGATCAAACATGAAGTAAGTTCACACAACCGTGGTAAGCCCTGAACCATGATTCACGCAAACCTTCGAACCAAGCCACCTTTAAGTCTTTCTCTAGTGCGGTGTTTTTCAATCTGAGCAACTTTAACACTGTTTTTGAACACTGACAAATTTAAGATGTTCAGATTTCAACTTCCAGAATTCCCCAAGCAGCAAGGGGGGGGGGGTTTCTTCCTGCAGCCTGCATGGCTTGGCTAGGGAATTGTGGGAGTTGAAGTCCAGGCATCTTAAAGTTGCTCAGATTGAAAAACACTTCTCTAGGGCAGGGCTCTTCAAACTTGGCAACTTTAAGACTTGTGGACTTCAACTCCCAGAATTCCTCAGCCAGCCAGGAATTCTGGGAGTTGAAGTCCACAAGTCTTAAAGTTGCCAAGTTTGAAGACACTTGCTCTAGGGCAGGGGTAGGCAACCTTGGCTCTTTTATGACTTCAACTCCCAGAATTCAACTCCCAACATGGCTGACTCAGGAATTCTGGGAGTTGAAGTCCACGAGTCATAAAAGAGCCAAGGTTGCCTACCCCTGCTCTAGGGTGTGAGCTCATTGATCAAATCCTGTTTTTACTATTAACTCCTAATAGCAGCATTTCTGTCAAATTGCTAAAGAGAAGCTAACCCTGGTTCCTCCTCATAGGTTTCTTTAACCACAGCCTGGCAGCCATTACTCTAGTGGGCTCTTCATTGGTCTCCATTGCTGGATCTCTCTACTTGGCCTACATCCTCTTTTATGTGCTCCATGATTTCTGCGTGATTTGCATCAGCACCTACATTCTCAACTTTGCCCTCCTGTTTATAAACTACAAGCGCCTCGGCTACCTCAACCATCCACCCCAGCTGAAGGCAAAAGCTAAAAGGCGCTGAATTCCACGTCCTTTAGGCCTGGACAACCTCTGGACCTTGTTTTTGAAGGTGACCAAGTAGACTTAGATCATTTAGACACCATCTTTGTCTTCTCTGCCCAGGAAGTCATGTTTTTCAGCATGTCTCCCATCGTCCTTCAGACTCCAAACATCTCAACTACCTGCTTTCTACTAACTGGAACCAAAATGGAAGCTACCTTGGATGATGCAAACCAAAATGGAGCTGTTTTGATTTTACAACTTGTTAAGTGGCATTTTTTCTTAGCTCTTTTAAATTGTTTTATGTATACTCATTTTGTACAACTAGAGGTTGTTCTTCATGTGTAGAAAATGATAAATGGAGGAGTTTTATTAGTGGATTAAAGTGTAGGGGAAGGTAGCATCAACGTAATATGGGCAACCAGGTGATCGATACCTGATCCTTTTTCATATGCATGGCACATACCACATGCGTGTTAAAAGAGGCAGGGGCTTATCATTCAGTTATACCTGCCATTTTGATGCCCTACTTAATATAAACTTTTAAGGATTTTGGACCATGATATTAAAAGCGTCTCCCCATTGAACAGGGGCTGCTTAAACCAACACCGTTTCACACTGATAATCAAGCTTGGTTTACTTTTCCCATCATTAATTTCCTTTGCCTGGTGTTAAGCTGACCGTATTATTTGGCACACTGAAACAATGTATCCCAAACAGCAGACAGTGACGCATAATTGCAAAAAATATATAGCAAGTTGCAGATAATTATTTTCATTACAGATCAAACACTACACCCGTGGTGGCGAACCTATGGCACGTGTGCCACAGGTGGCACGCAGAGCCCTCTCTATGGGCATGGGCACCATCGCCCTAGTCCTTCAGCTGGGTTTTATAAAACCTTTTCGCTTTAGGCCTCCGCCGCCGTGTGCAAAAAAAAAAAGGTTCAATCAATCAATTTCAACTTCTCGCGGGGAAAAAAAAAGATCTCGCAAAGTTGGAATTGATTGAACTTTTTAGTCCCACCCAGTCTGCCATTACCACCGAAGCCACGCCCACCCAATGGGACACGCCCACCCGGCGTGTCCCAGCTTGGCGCTGATCCTGGCGCTTTTGCTGAGCCCAGAAGAAGCACCGATCAGCTGGAATGTTGCAGCATCTCCAGGGTCTTGTGATTTACATTCAGATGCTTGGCAACTGATTCATATTTATGACGGTCACAGTGTCCCAGGATCATGTGAAGTGACCAAAACCTGCTGCAACCACCCAGCAGACGGGGGGAATAAAAACCAAACACCCCCCACCCCACCCCCGCTGCCAATCCTCAACAGAAATGCTCACAATGGAAACCTCGGACAGGAGGAAGCGCCACCGGGCGGTCAGGCAAGTGTCTTGCTCGGCTGTGGCTTGGGGGGCATTTTTTTCAGTGCCATTGTAACTTCGAACAGTCACTAAGCGAACTGTTGTAAGGCGAGGACTACCTGTACTTTATTACTTTTTTCCTTTTTTTTTTTTTTTGGTCATCACGTTTTTGACACCTTGCTGGTGGAGTTGCCATATCCTAAAAGTGGTACAATGGGTGAAAAGGTTGAAAAGCCCTGGTTTAGATTACTATTATTTTAAACACTACACTGATTTTGATTTTCTGTATTGGGCACCAAAAGTTCCTGAGCCATTTCTATGTGTATAACAAAATATATTTGGCAGCCACTGGGCTAATATTTCATTTGTTTTAATAGAATCACTTTCCAGCTACTTATTCCTGTTGCAGGAAGAGAAAGTTGGGCAGAAGGAACATGTGGGTTCTTTTTTTAACATTATGTTTATAACAAGCAGTAACTATTACCATTGTTTTTTAGGTGAAATCTATATAAATAAAAATGTAAATGTTCGTTTGTTCAAAATCTTAAATCTCAGAAAGTTCTTCACCAATTGCTTTGAAATTTTGACACAACGTTGCATTCGAATACGCGCGTGTTTTTATATACCTACTATTATATAGATGTCACACCTGTGACAGGTAAAAACATGCTTTTTTTGAAAAACAGCGCCATCTGTTGGCTGAGTGAACGAGAGCCACAGCAACGCGTGGCCGGATACAGCTAGTAATAAATAGAAAGATTTGAAAAAATGGAGGAACTGTTCTCTCAGCTAACAGCAGGGGGCGCTGTTTTTCTATTAATGCAATCAGCTCTGAATTTAACTTTTGTAATGTTTTATCCAAAAAGACATCAAGGACAAAAGTCCAGATTGGCTTTCTTTATAACTGACTCAGTTAAGACTTGTATGATCATGACGTATACGCTTATGTAAAAGCCAACCCCGTTTTCAAGTTATATCAGAGTCTTTTGAATATTTCCTTTCACATAAAGGAAAAACAATACCTTCTAAATTCCACTTTTCGTGGTTTTTTAAAAATATTTCTACTGATATATTTCTTTAGTTTCTCCCAGAGAAATTGATTTATAAGTACTTTTTAAAGAGTGAACATTTGCATAAATGGATCGATTGTGCTAAAAACAGCTCAAGCAGAAAGAAAAAAAAATCTTGGAATGATAATGAAAGCAGGATCAGAAACACCAAAGGTGAAAAAAACAACAACGAAAAATAGTTGGTGATATTTCTATTTTCAGTTCCGGAGTACATATTCAGAAACCTCAAAGACAATTATATCTGAAGTGCTTCTTTGCATCAGTATTGTAATATAAAGAAAATAAATGTAGAGATTAATCGTATGTTTTTTATCTGTAATCTGCTTTTTCTAGGGACTAGATACCCTTATAGCACCCTGGTCTCTATATTTTGACCGCTTTTGAAAGTTGATGCATTTCAGGACTGTTACGAGTTACTGAAATAAACGCTTGCTTCATTATTCCCACGATCTTCCTTTACATTGCCATCGCTACATAGAGCAGGGGTTCTCAACCTTGGCCGCTTTAAGACTTGTGGACTTCAACTCCCAGAATTCCTCAGCCAGCTTTGCTGGCTGAGGAATTCTGGGAGTTGAAGTCCACAAGTCTTAAAGCGGCCAAGGTTGAGAACCCCTGACATAGAGTTAGCCGCTGATGCTCTTTCATACTACATTTCCCGTCAAGCTCCTCCCATGTCGCGCGGGGCTTTCTGGGATTCGTATTTCTCCGAGCGCCTGTCAAGCGTCGTGGAAGCGCGTTTGCTGGACTGCAATTCCCAGGCGGCATTGCTGCCTTTATCTCCGTCAAAAAAAAAAAAAACCGCCTGCCATCAGTTCCCCCTTTTTCTGCTAAGAAAAAGGCAGCTGGTTTAGTCCGCTCCTAAAGAGTGGAAACTGCGGCGGCGTTTCGGCTTGGCGGTAAGATGTCATTTAAGGAATGTGCCATTGTGCTTGCGCAGGGGGGGGAGAAGGTAGGCTTTGGACCCTGCTTTCTTGTTGCCCCGGCACGGAAGGTAGGAAGCAGCTTCCTGGTTTTTATTACGAGTGGGGGATGCAGACGCTGGGACGGAACCGGGATTCGCCTTTAGGCCCAGGAAGCCGCCTGATGGATGTGGCAGGGTGGGTGGGAGAGGGGACTCCAGCTGCCCCCGGGGGAAAGATCTGAGTGGACGCGTTGCAGCATTAAAAAAAAAAAGAGATTTTCCTTTAATAATAATCATGGGTTATGAAAAGGATATGGGGTGGGAAGGAAGTTGGGACACAATCTATGTGACAATGGGGTTGGTAAGAGCAAAAAAAACTGCTAGCAACCGCTGCAGAGCCCAAAGTGAAACATCTGGAGCAGAGAATGGAAGGCGATTCCTTCTTGTCTTCATTTTATTTCTGCTTCCTGGGTTCCAATTAATTAATGCCAATTAATACCATTCCAGTTAATTCCATTCAAATGGTAGACTCCTTGGGGCACAGTGACTGGGGCGTGGGAGAGAAGGCTAGGAAATGTGGATCTCACCCACATTGATGGCACTGGTTCAAAAGCAGTTCGCCAGCGTCTAGAAATCCAGAGGTTTATTATCACAACTCTGGAATTGAAAATGTTTCAATTGGTTCAATCCTCTTTGGCTAAGCCAGGACCAGAATGACAAGGCTGGTGATTGGCAGAGGTCACCTGCTCCCCTTTGGGCATTAGATCTTTTCCGGCTGCCCTCCAAGACATCCTATCTTGTTTTCCCTTTATTAGCTTTAACCTGAAAATGTAAACAGCTAGATCTGGCAAGAAAGGGGTGATTGTCCCCCAATTTCTTGGTATGTGGCGGCTGTTCCCAAAAAAATGCAAACATATAATATTAAACAAAGTAACGACTGGGGGGGAAATTACCTCAATGAGGTTTTTCCCCCCAAGTGCAGTCTAATACAATTCAGTGTAAACTGTATGTGTGATACAGTATTGTACATTATATTACAGAATTGCCCGACAGACTAAAAGGCAAAACTAGATTTGATATATCAATTCTTGGAAGAGCTATCGTATTTGAGATCTGTGGGCTGGTGCTGGCAATGTGAAATTGTGTTTTCATAACAAAATGTGGTGTTTGCTGCTTTAAATCTCTTCCGAAAGTCAAGATAATAAACATTGGAATACGTGAGCCATGTTTTCAAGTTAGTTGGCTTGGCATGCAGACTAGCTGAATGAAGAAACGATGAGATGACACTGCAGTAGGTTTCAGACTAAAAACTAGCCCTGAAGCTTGATTAGCAGGTATTTTGGATGATGAATTATGGCAGCTAAATTATTCTGAAAAACATGTTGCCCACACTGCCAAATCTCTCAGGTAATGAGCATCAAAGGAGGCCTTCAGTTCAAGGAGATGGCAAGGTTTGGGCCTTGCATTTTATAATATGCTTCTGGAAATAATATGTTAACACTTTATGGCAGTGTTTCTCAACCCTGGCAGCTTTAAGATGTGTGGACTTCAATTCCCAGAATTCCCCAGCCAGCCTTCCTGCTGGCTGCAGGAAGAATTCCCCCCTGCTGGCTGGGGAATTCTGGGAGTTGAAATTTGCACATCTTAAAAGTTGTCAGGGATGAAAAATACTGCACTATGGTTCCTTAACAGAATATGCTGAAATCCTGTGATTAATTGATGTGAAAATGTGCCTTTGATTACTGTCATATTAGCCATGGTTTTGAACACAGGAAGAACAATACTGGGTTTAGTAGTTTCTTAACTAGAATCTTGTGTCTATCTATTGTAAAATGAGAAAAATTAACAAAAGAGATAATAGTCTAATAGATTACAACTTTCTGCAGGTTTCAAAGTAATTTCTAGTTAAATATTTACTATCATAGGAACAGATGGCTTCTTGAACTATTCTGGAAGCAGTGGCCTATTAACCTTTCTATTACAGCAATCTTAATTCCCAAATTCTTTGGAATTAGGCACTCTTCCTGTTGAGATTGTTTCAAGGAAATGTAGCCAAGTTCGAAGACTTAGTGAGGCCAGAAAAAGCACTTTCGTTTTTTTGATAACCAGAAACCTCTTATTGGCCCTTATTGGAACCAGGAACCTGGAACACAGAAATGCTGGAATGGATCTTACAGAACCCCGACTTCCCAAAATAAATGTTAAATGTGAGATAGAAATTTGGGGCAAATGCAAAGAGGAGGAACGACATGTTATTTAGCAAAAGCTAAATAAACTTTTCTCAGTAAAACAAAGAATAAATCCAGATATCATGCCACATCATGGCTTGTTTTGCCCTGGTTTATTGAAAAAGCCATAATTGGCTGGATTTACGCATAATGCTTAACCCAAACTTCCCAAATCACATTCTTGTTTC